AGTTGAGTCATTCAGTCATTTTCTCATTCATTCTTTAACAAATAATCACTGAACATTTAGCATTTTTGGCACCATGCATTTATTATCCCTGTCCCTAAAGAGCGTCCAGTCTTTGTGGGGAAACAAAACATAGAGACATGAAAAGTCATATAATATAAGAAGATAGTATATGATTAAGTGTTAGAATACCCTGTCCAGACAATAAGAAGCAAGAAATGAGGAAAAGCTGAATGAGAAATGATAAGATTTCTATAAATGGAGAGGATAATAGGATCACAGATTTAGAGCTAGACAACTTTAAAGGATGTTTAGTCTAACTCTCCCAAAATGAGGCCCAGAGAAGTAACTTACCCAAGGTTATAGAGCCAGTAACTGGCAGAACCAGAATGGTGAATGCATTTCAAACAGATGGAAAGGAATTAGCAAAGACAGAGAAGCAGGATTGTTCATAATATGTTAGGGAGAGGGGAACAAAATCATCATACGTGTGGAGCATAAGGCTGATGCCGGGGAGTTGTAAGCAATAAATTTGGAAAAGTAGGTTAGAGTCAGCCTGGAGTGATGCTTCCATGCTAGCCTAAGGAGTTTTGGCTTTATGTTGTAATTACTGTGGAACTAATCACTGAAGGTTTTGGAGCAGAAGGAGGACAGGATGAAAATAGTGTTTTTAGAAAACTAATCTATCAGTGGTTTGCAGAATGTATTAGAGGGGAGAATGAATCTGGGAACAGGTGGCCATTTAGTTGCCTATTGAAATTATCCAAGTGTGAGGTGAAAGTAAAAGGAAGGACGAATTTGAAAGGTACTCCAAAGGAAGAAATGATAGACTTTGATGACTGATTGACTAATATATCAGGATGGAGTACATAGAGAATGGAAAGAGAAAAATCAGACTTGACATTGAATGATTAGGGGAATTCAGGTACCACTGGTCAAAATGGGGAGATTTGGAGAGGCAGGAATATGAGTTAATTTTAAGTGAGATAAAGAAAATGGCCAATACCAGATTTGTGGCTGGAACTTAGGAGGAAGCACAGAAAAACCTCAGATGTGGAAGTTATTCAGTCATTCAACAATTATTTTTTCCAGAGTTACTATATGCATGGAACATGGCTGAAGATGTCGGAGTGGATGCTTTTCTTGGGGGGGGGGAAGAGAGAGAGACAGAAAGAGACAGAGAGAGACAGAGAGAGAATAAAGAGAGGAGTGGGGGCCAATAGGAAGTTTCCTTTGTGAGGAAGTCCCACTGGTATTAATAAGGAAGAGCCAGTAAGAGAGAGGAGTAGCAGAGGCTACTTGTATCTTTACTGGCTTAACCTGTTTAATTTTTGTTTTTCTCTCCCCTTAGACTCTTAGAACTCAGTACTCAGCTATGAGAAAAATCTGTAAAAGATGTGATTTGTATACTGATTGTTTACTGTCTCAAGGAAGAGGGAAGGAGGAATAGGATTTGGAATTCATAAGTTAAAAATAATGTTTTAACATGTTTTAACATGTAGTTAGGGAAAAATAAATTATATTAAAAATGAAAAAGACATATGATTATATGGAGTTACTTCAGTCATTTTTCTTACCTTTGCCTTGAAACTAAAGTTGCTATGCTTTTTTATGCATCAATTTTACATCAGTATTTTTAGTTGTCTTGAATACAGATATGTCTCAGGGCAAAATTTGACCACTGTCCTTTTTTATTTTTAGGTCTTGCAGTTAAAGTTGAATTTTTTCCAAATTCTTAAAAACTTTAAACAAATGTTTAAGAATATTTCTTTTGTTGCTCCCCCCCCATTCAAGCCCTCATCATTGTTCATATGGGCTATTCCAAGGGTCCTCTAATTGTTCTGTCTGCCTTGCCTTTCCCTATTTCTCCACACAGCAAAGTGATTTTTTTTAAAGTGGAAATCTGACCATGTTACCTCTCTCCCCTACTCAATAAACTTCCCTATTACCTCTAGGATCAAATATTAACTTGTCTGTTTTACATTTAAAGCTCTTCACAACCCGGTGCCTTCTTAGCTTTGCAGTTTTCAAAATCCATTATTCACTTGCAAGCCCTGTACAGTTGAGCCACACTGGCCACCGACTTTCTTATCCTCACACAAGATACTGTGTCTCTAGTCTGAATCTGGTTGCCTTTAAATGTCTCCCCTGCCAACAACACTCACCTTCCTCACCTCTGCCTCTTAGAATTCCTGGATCTCTTCAAGACTCAGCAGAAACCTCATCTGTTGCAGGAGGTCTTTCCTATTGCTGCCCGCCACTAATGTCTTCCTCTGTAGTTACCTTCCATCTGTAATGTATGTATCATATTAAATCTATAATTGATTATGTTCATATTGTCCCTCCCTTTAAAAGTTAAATATCCTGAGGGCTAAGGACTGTTTTTGTTTCCCCCTCCCCCTTTATATCTCCAACATTTAGCATAGTATCTGGAACATAATGAATGTTGACTGATTTTTAATGGACACATTGTATGTAAACAGTATTGAATGCAACACTTGACAATTCAGGAGAATTTATGCATATATGTACATATATACACTTACATACATATATACATGTGTATATGCATACATACTTGACAACTATTGATTTCTGTGTATCTTACGTATTAAAAATCATTCTATGTATTAATCCATTGATGGACACATTATTAACAGAATATAGTTTTCTTTGCTCCCCTCAAATTTGTATTTTGATGAAAAGTGAATTTTATTCTAATTAAATGAAATCAAAAGGGTGATTCTACACAAGAATGGCAAATTAAGAATGTTTTTTAATTGGTGTCCATTCATAGGGACAGATTTCAGGAAGAACCATTTTACATAGGGATGAAGGTGATTGATTCAATGGTAGTGATTTTCTGGGCTTTCAGTGAGTTGTAGCACCTAAAGTTGCTGCTGGGGCATGCCTATGCTGACATGCATAGGTCTACAATGCAGACATTATATTTATGCAATCAGCAATTCAATTACAGAGTTGCTCTGGTGGATCTTGCATAGTGATCAAATTTACATCAGCAGCAGATCCCAGACACAATCAGGTAACTTAGGTGTGGGAGTAGATAAGAAATAATCAAACTAGTTTGGCAATACTAATGCAATTGAATCTTCTACTTTTAGGGGGGAAATGTAAAATCTTTGGATTCCCATTAATGATGAAATTGAATATAATTGAAGGATGACACTGAATGATGAAATTGGGATAACTTAATGGCCATCATATCACCTATCCTTTTCTATTTTTCACTCTTAAAACATTTAGAACTGTTGCATAGGAAAAGGATGCCTTACAGTTATTTCAAATAAAGAATGAGGAAATAAATGAAATTATTTAAACAATTATATTAAGAAGTCTATTATTTGGTTCCTTACTATGTTGGATTTAATTGGATTTAAGATTATGACATCAAAATGGACTCCATTGTGAAGTATTCATACAGGAGTTGGCATGAAAAATTCTACCATTCTCTTAACTGAACATTTTGTGATTTGTCTTTTTGCCATCTTTCTTCTGTTTGACATTTAAAACCTTTCAAAACCTGGTTCCAGCCTACCTTTCCTATCTATTGCACATCACTCTCCTATATATACTCTGTGGTTTAGCCAAACTGGCTATCTTGCTATTCTTCACATAACTTCTGGCTATACCCTATTTCTATGATTTTGCCTGGAATACATTGCTTCCTCATGTCACCTATATCTCTTAAAATCTCCAGCTTCATTCAAACATCAGGTCAAGCATAATCTCCTACACGAAACTTTTTTTTTCTGATCCCTTCAGATGCTAGTGCTTTCCCCCTACCCCTCAAAAATTTCTTGCATTTCTTATGTTTATATATATATATATATATACACATATATATATACACACACACATACATATATACATACGTGTGTATATGTGTGTGTATATATATACATATATACATATATACACACACACACACACACACACACACACACACACACACACACACACACACATATATATATATATTAACTTCTTAGTCTTCTAAGGCAACTCATTAAAACTATAGATTGCAGAGAAGGTCCTGACCAGCACTGGTGCTCCCTATGCTATTGAAACAATAGGTCCAATCTCAATCCTAATCTTTTATGTGTATGTGATGTTTTCCCTAGTTGAATGCAAGTTCCCTGGGGTTGGGGACTATTTCCTTTTTGATTTATTTTATACCTAGCAATTAGCACAGAGCTCAGCATATAGTAGACAGTAAATGTGTGTTGATTGATTGATTCTATCCCTATCTTGCACTGTGAAGCAGTAACTACCTTACCAGAAATACTTTCTCAACATACCTTGTGCTCTGAGAAAAGGAGGTGAAACCTGGGAATTCTCCCATCTTTAGTTCTAACATGTTACCCTCAAATCATAGGCAGATTATAATATATCTAATCTAAGTGATTATTTAGAAGGCTTAGTCAATCAGACCCACCTTGTTTGTACTCTCAGGATCCTAAATTTTAAAATCCAAGTTTTATCCACATAAAACCTGAAATATTTCATTTCCCAGTTCCTTCTGGGTATGACATCTTGGAGGAAGGTCAAAGCATTGTTATTTCATTTTTTTCTTCCTATTAAAAGAATAATTCACAGCTTCTTCTGCGCCACTACACAACCCTTTTGCTTTTAAATTACCTATTTATTTTAACGGTACTCCATGCTCAGAACAGGGGTATGTGACAGCTCAGCAAAGGCACTGGGGAAGATATGAATTTAGTCTAAGTGTCCTTTTAAGTAGTCTCCACTCCAGGTCACATTTTAAAAAACCATTAAATTCAAAAGGCTCTTTGTCTACACTATGGTACACAAGAATGAAACCAACTGGTTAATGCTTGACTGACATGCATGTTTCTGCCATGGAATATTACATGTAAGGAATGAAAAAAATTTTTCCTGTAAAGTTTCTTGGGACTTCAAAAATGGGAATTTTTTTTACAATAAACAACTTTTCTAACACCATTTAAAATTGTGCATTTCAGAGCAGAAGATGGCTAGTGACTTATCTTCTAGAGAAAAATGACAGAAATGACTATTTGGAATTATTCCTGGAATTAGACCAGCATGAGGTCCCCTCTGCCAATCTAAGGTAAAACTGCTGAAAGGCAAGAAATACAAAGTGATGTATGTCCAACTGACTATGTTGACAGTCTCTGGTCTAGCAAAAATTCCAAATGCCCAAAGCCAAAAGAGTCAGAGAATGTGTAAACCTGGGGATGTCATCACTGAGGAAACAGTAAATACCAACACCTTTATAAGGGGTATTTAGTCAAGGGGGCCAAAAGTAATATCCAAACTTCTGACCTTCTATGTGTCCCCAGGTGATACACAGAATTTATTGATAATTGAAGGTAAAATTGCAAGACCTCTGTCTTACTGCAATATCTCCCTGACTATTATAATGAAAAGTAAGACAAGATTGCAAAGGATTCATTTAACATATAACCCAAAGTTCCCTAAGAAATGCTAATGAATTACCTGTTCCTTTTCTATTGATTAGCATTATTTATCTGTGGAAGTCTTGCTACTTTTAGGACAGATTTTTGTAAAGGTCATTTTTGAACAGTAACATGATGTTCAGGCACAAAAATTCATATTAAAATGTGCTATAAAGTTCTTCAAATGCATCTTCATGGCCGCAGAAAATACACTGAAATGTGAGGTATAGTCTTGTCAGCCTATGACTGCTTGAGTTACATAAATTATGCATATCCTCTGGTCTTTAGATAAGTCTGATCTTTCAAAGATTAATTAATATGTAATAACTTTTGCTAATTGTCTTTGAGGTTTAAAAAATTATATTGTTTACTACAGTGTTCAGAAAAAAGACTACATATGAAAATAGGCAATAACTATTTAGTGAACTAAAATAGCAGAATAATTCGAATGAGCAAAGGTATTATTACATATTTGCATAATATCAATTATTTGACTTGCTAATTTTGGAAGGAAAAGAGCTATAGCTTCAATGTATATTGATTTAGAGACTTTGAAGTTTTTCCATTATAATAAAACTACTAACTACGGTGCCTAACACAGTACCTTACACACAATAGGCATTTAGTAAATATTTGGTGTGTGAATGAAAATATGAATATCCTTCAGTTATAGACTTTTATATGAGGAAGAATTCAGAGTAAATAAAATTCTGTGTAGCATACAAACTAATTAAAATCATTTTCTCTACTTTTCTGTATTTCCATTTGATAACTAAGTCAAAGTTAGAAAGGGTTTTCTTGATTTCTGGACTCGTATTCATTTTAAGCATTCTTAACTGGAAAGCAGCACTATGTAGGAGAAAACACTGAATTAGCAACAGCAGACCTTACCCTATCCAATGATTCTGCCATTCTTAACCTAAGTAACTTTAGATTAGCCACTCAGTTTCCTCATCTTCATCCTTAAAAAGAGAAAGCTGAACTACATCATTACATCCCTTCAAAATTTAACTTTCTATGATTCTAAAATGTTTTTAAAATGTTGTTGTTTCCTTTATGACTGCTATCAGAACATTTGAAGCTACTTTGTATAGTAGAAAAAACCCTCACAAAAAACATGGAGTTTGGAGTCAGGGAATCTGGCTTGCTTTCTGGATCTCTAGCCACCTAGTGTCTGTGTGACCTTGGGCAAGTCATGATCTCTTTGTGACTGTTTGCTCACCTATAAAATGAGAGAGCTGGAATGGATGGGAGCTAATGTGCCTTTGAGCTCTAACTATACAATTCTCAGAGTCATAATTTCGTCTTAATAAGCATATGCTAAGTACCACCTATGTTTAAAGCACTTAGGCATTCGAGAAGACAGAAAGCTAAGCAGGACATGATCCCTCCCTTCAGGATAGAACATATAACCTAAATCTAGTATGGCAATAAGACACATAAATACATGAAATGAATGAAAAGCTGAATGACAAGTATGGAGAATGAATAAAAATAATACACTTAGGACTAAAATAAAACATAACCCTGGTATAACAGAGATTTGAATATGGGCATAGGTCTAAATTGTTGTTGTTCAGTCACATCCCATTCTTTGTGATGCCATATAGGGCTTTCTTGGCAGAGATAGTGGATCAGTTTGCCATCTCCTTCTCCAGTGATAGGTCTAAGTACCTTTTCCTAAACATAACAATGACATAAGAAAAAGCTTACGAGAAAAATAGCTAATAAAATAGATATTACCAGTTCTTCCCCATGGTGTAGTACACAGGACTTGGATTCATATCTTGGCTATCCCTGTGTGACCTCAGGTGAGTCACAGCCTCACTTATCCTTTGTTTCATGAGCTGAGATATAAGGTTGTGGCTCTAGATCAGGGGTTCTCAACCATAGGTTACCAAACCACTTGAGGGTCCATGGAGAGGTTTAGGGGGTGGGGTTGTGAATTTGGATGGGAAAATACATCTTTATTTTTACTAATATCTGTTACTGAAAGCCTTTCCTTTGATTATAAATGTAGACAACAAACCAGCATGGTGCACAAAGAAGTTCATGACAGGAAAGGTTAAGAACTTATTCTAGATTATCTGTAAGGGCTCTTCTGTCTCTAAATCCTATGTCCATTGTCATGGAGAAGTATCCTTTGTTTGAAGACTCCTGAAAGCTCTGATTGACCTTGATTCTGTTATTTCCATTATATTCTGATCATTTGTATAACTGAGGTATTAGCTAATTATCCAGAGTGAATGGAGTCCACCACAGTGGGACTTGTTGCTTTGTAGAATGTGAAAAGAAAACCATGAAGTTAGATTTGTAAATCATGGTTTGATGCTTTGGACTCTACCCATAAGAAGCAAAATAAAGTGGCTTATCTGGTGAGTCTGATCAATGGAGGCAGCCTTGGCTAGATGGTGCAGTGGATAGAGCTGTAAGAGTTTACATTCCAATTCAGACACTAGCTCTGTGATACTGGACAAATCACTTAACCTTTCTCTATGCCTCAGTTTCCTCATCTGCAAAATGTGGATAATATTAGCTCCTACTTCACAGAGTTGTTGTGAGGATCAAATAAATTTACTTTAAAAACTTAAAAAAAAAACCTTTAAAAGTGCCTTGCCAATCTTCAAGCACTACATAAATGCTATCTATTATTGTTGTTATTGTTTTCTCAGTGGTCTAGGTTACTGCTAAATTCTCTATTTAATTTCGACTGTTTAAAAATACCAGTTTCTGTATCCATAGAGAGATTTTATGCGAAATACCTCAAATGTTAATTAATTTTATTTTTAGCAGTATAACCTCAATAGCTGAGAAGATTTTTTTGGTTGTCTTCTTCAGGGAGTTTGGCAACTAATACAAACCATAATACTATGAATAGACATACTTATATTTGTTTTTAAAGCATTTTTACACACATGTCCTCATTTAAGCTTTGCAACAACCCTATCACATAAATAGATCACTTTACAGATGAGCAACTGAATCCCACAAACTAGTAACAGTACTGAAAGAATTGATGTTTTAGAATTGAACAAGACTTTATTAAATTATATTGATTTCAGATCCTATTGTCTAGAGATTGCCTTTTAAAGGGATTATCTTTTCTAAAATACAATCTGCTGGTTTGTTTTGGGGTATCTATCTATCTGTCTGTCTATTTATTATTATACATATATTATATATATATGTATGTTTATATATATACTTATATACATACATGCATGTGGAGACAGAGAGAGAGATGGATGGATGAGTGGATGGATGGGTGTGTGGATGTGTATGTATAGATGTGTGTATATGGAAAAAGGTGTCGTGAAAACCCTGCCATTCCTATCCAAAGTACAAGTGATTAAGTTCCTCATCTGTTAAATGAAGGGGTTGGACAACATGGTCTCCAAGGGCCCCTTCAGCTCTAAAAAGTCAATAATTCCATGTTATGAAGCTCAATGTCAAGGTATTGAGCAATCTATTCTTTCTGTGAAATATCCATCAATTTCACGTAAGTGACGATCAGTAATTAGATATTTCAAAATAATACTTATAATTTAATTTATAGTTATGCAAATAATCTCGTTCTGATTATATAGATACTATATCATTCTCCTTCCATATTAGGGATCCCTATGTAGAAAATATTTTAATTTTTAAAATTGGAAGTAAAATGTTTTTGCTTCAGAGGGCATTTGTACTTTCCCTATTAATGTGTACTTTTTTAAGAGCAGGAAAAATAGATATTGAATTTGAATGGGGGGTGGGGAGAGGCCAAGTTGAGTTTCATTATAGGTATTACTTATATCATCTCTTACCAAAGTCAGTGTTCCTATTTTTGAGAGTAATTCTTTAGCCCACATCCTGAGCCCCCATCTGGTGTGTTACTGTATTGTAAGGTATACCAGATGTATAGCAAATCATTTAATTAAAATGGGAAAAAAACATAAGAAGGGAAACAAATGTAAAACATTCTCTGTATCCATAAGAAAAAAGGATGCAAATCTCTTATAAATCTAAGGGAGTTATAATCGAATCTCCCTTTAATCCATCTAACTTTTTAACATAGCAGGAGGGAATTAACTTTTCAACTCACAGTGCATGTGATAGCCATAGTGCCACAGGCTTCTTAAAGTCTTTTCCAGACTTTTGATCTAGTCCAATACCTTCATTTTATGGATAAGGAAACAGAGGTGTGGGAAGTTTAGTGATTAACCTAAGATCACAAAAGTGGCAAGTGACAAAGCAGTTCTCACTCCAAATCAAATCCAAATCCATGATGTCACAAAGCACTAAAGTATTACCCTATTTTATGATGTTTTGGGGGGCTGGGCAATGGGGTTAAGTGAGTTGCCCAGGGCCACACAGCTAGTAAGTGTCAAGTGTCTGAGGTCAGATTTGAACTCAGGTCCTTCTGACTCCAGGGCCAGTGCTCTATTCATTGTGCCACCTAGCTGCCCTAATTTTTAACAATCACTGTAAGCCAAAATACAGAGTAAGTTTAAAGAGTAAAACAGGATCCATGTAGATCAGGATGAGTAAAATTGAGAAAAATGAGCTCTTGCCTCAGCTCTGGAGCCATCATCGTCTCCAGAAAAGATGCCAAGGTTCAGGACATCATGCACAGGTCACCTCCCCTCACTGTACATGTTCATCTTCTCCC